TGAGTGTCTGTCTATGTGTGTGTGTGTGTGTGTGTGTGTGTTTGTGTGTTTGTGTGTTTGTGTGTGTGTGTTTGTGTGTTTGTGTGTTTGTGCGTGTGTGTGTGTGTCTTTGTTTGTGTGTGTGTGTGTCTAGCGATTGATTCTCTGTTTGACTTTTTTGCTGATCTGAGCAGAACAGACTTTGTGTGAATCGAGCAACTGCTGAAAGTGACAAGGTCCCTCTAACATTACAACACCTGAACCGTGTTACCATAGATCTGCTTAACGTCGTACTGATAGGTTTGTTTTTGCGCCTCTGTTCCTGCACAAATCAAGTAGCAGGAATCAATAGTGTATTGAAAGTCCAGACAGCAGGTGTGTGTTCATGCGCTAAAGGTCACGGGAATAAAGATGCTTTGAGAAATAAACACTGAAGCGCTCTGTGTTTTGAAGAGTACATTTGTCAGCTAAATTTGTGTCTTTAGCGTCATTCAATGTAAAAAGGATTTACAAATAAAGCATTAATGCTAGTGGTGTAGAAAATGTATCAGGGGACATGTATCTGTATATCTTGCTCTCTTTTTATTTTATTTTATTTACATCAAGGTAAACAGAGTAATTCTGTACAAAAGTGTATAGAAATTGTTATTTTTTTATTTTATTTTTGTATATTTAATTTTTTTGTATTTTATTTAATTTCATTTAATTTACATTCAAGTAAACAGCTTAACTTTAAACAAAGGTGTAAAGAAATGTTGTTTTTGTACATTTTATTTTATTTTTGCATATTTCATTTTATTTTATTTACATTCAAGTAAACAGCTTAACTCTGTACAAAGGTGTATAGAAATGTTTTTATTTTATATTTTATTTTGTATTTTATTTTGTATTTTTGTATATTTTGTTTTATTTTATTTCATTTGCTTTCAAGTAAACAGCTTAACTCTATACAAAGGTGTATAGAAACGATTTGTTTTCTTTTTCTATTCTTTTACTTTAATAATATTCAAGGAAACAGCTTAACTCTGTACAAGGGTGTATATAAATAAATTTCCTTTATTTTTCTTTTTTTTAAATTAAATTAACATTCATAGGAACAACTTAACTCTACAAATATGTATAGATTTTTTATTTTATTTTATTTTATTTCATTTTATTTTATCTACATTCAAGGAAACAGCTTAACCGTATACAAATGTGTATAGAAATTGTTTTATTTTTTATTTTTTAACATGCAAGTAAGCTAAGTATGAATGATTATAACAAAAAAAGCATACATTAAGTATGGTTTAAGGAAGAGTTGTTAAAATTAAGTTCCACACTAATGCATGACTAGAGATCACTTTCTGTGTGATTCGGATCTAAATCAATGTTCGTTTTGTCTCTTTTTCCAGGTAAAAATCCAGAGGATGTGGTTCGGCGCTACACAGAGAAAATCAAAACGGCTCCCGATGAGGTGATTCCTGCACACATGTGATTGATTAGCGTCATGTGACCAGCCGAGCATTGTGTTGTTTACTAGCAGAGATAATGAGTGAGGCAGCAGATGTCTGTCAGTGTTACTCACTGTTGATATCCGTCAGGACTGCACCATCTGCATGGAGCGACTGGCCACAGCGTCCGGATACGAGGGAGTGCTGAGCTACAAAGGCATCAAGCCCGAGCTGGTCGGCAAACTGGGAAAGTGCGGCCACATGTACCATCTTCTGTGTCTGGTGGCCATGTACAAAAATGGCAATAAGGTCAGAACATGACACGAAGACTGTGATCATATCAGTTTGTTTTATTGTGCATAAGGGAGGATTTTAAACAAACCAACCAGATTCAAGATCAGTCATCACAATACACTGACAATTTATTTATACAACAAATAATGGGATTTTAAACACTCCTGTTGTGTTAAAAAACTGGTACTAATATTGAGTTGCGAAGTTGACCCACATTGGTTTCCAAAAAGCAGAAAACATCTACAGAGTTATTATAGTTAACAAAAATTAAAACCATTAAAAAAACATAAAAATACAACCCCAATTGTTTTTTAAAGCATGAATAAAATGTAAATAAAAACAGAATGCGATGATTTGCAAATCTCATAAACCCATATTTTATTCACAGTAGAACATAGAAAACATATCAAATATATAAACTGAGGACATGTACCATTTTAAAGGGATGAATGAAAATTAGCCCCTGATTTACTCACCCTTAAGCCATCCTAGGTGTATATGACTTTCTTCTTTCAGACGAATCCAATCTGAGTTATATTAAAAATTGTCCTGGCTCTTCCAAGCTTTATAATGTCAGTGAATGGGTGTTTTTTTTTTCAATAGTCCAAAAGAAGTCAAATAAAGCTCATCCATCCATCATTAAAAGTGTCCCACACTGCTCCGGGGGGTGAATAAAGGCCTCCTGTAGCAAATCAATGCGTTTTTGTAAGAAACATATCCATATTTAAAATTTTATAAAGAGTAATCTCTAGCTTGCGCTAACTGTCGTATGCCCATTCATTCTGGCGGATGATGTAGGGAGAGAGCAATACAAAACACCGGTCACAAATAGTACAAAATGAGGATTTGTAAAGACAAATGTTGGAGGATTTCAATATAAGCCAAGAGGAGACTGGTTTTTCTTTGCTAAAGTAAGGAAATTTTGCTTCCTTTGATCCCACGTTGAAAACGTTGGTTTTCGCGAGACTAGCCTATTCTCACCGGCGCATGTGCTAAACCTACACAACAACCTACAGAAAAGTGGTTATAACATTTCAAATATGGGTATGGTTTTTACAAGAACATATCGATTCTTATCGATAATTATTGCCTTACATTCACTTAATTGATATCTGTGGTCATAGTTTCAGACCATATATAGTAGCCTACATCTTGGATAAGTTTAGTAAATGTTTTGCACCTACAGCACATGTTACAGACAGTGATGCACAAACACGGATATGTTCTGCATGTCTAAAGTATATAGAAAGGATAAACCAGTTTTGTAAACACATTGATTTAGTTTAACAGCTTAAAATATAATCTGCATGCACATTAAACAGTAAATTTCAGGTTTTTCCATGTTTTAATACAAATGTAGGCCTATTTAATAAAACTACTCATAGCCATATTTCCAGTACGTTTTGTTTATTATTTAAGAAATTTGCTTTGTGCATCAAGTCCTCGGTGATACGCACGCATGTGCGTAATGTCAGCAACTCGCTTGTCAGAATCCTCTGTAATCTTTGGCAAACTTCGATAGTTGGTTGAACTGGCTCATTCGGTTCTTTTCGAGCTGAATGTGCTACTTTGGCTGTGCGTCTTGCATCAACAACCCAGAACTAAAGTTCGATTCAGTTGGATTTGAGAACAGGCTCGACCGGTTACTTCCTGAGAACCGGCTCAAAAGAACAATTCGTTCAAGAATCAGACATCACTAGTGCATAATATCACCAGGATCTCTGTGCACATGGGACAAGGGTGAAAATCAATACTGGATGCCCGTGATCTTTGGCTCATCAGGCGGGGGCTGCGTTAAAAATTGCCATTATTCTGTAATGGAAATCACTGCATGGGCTCAGAAACACCTCCAGAAATCCTCATCAGTGAACACTGATCAGTTGCCGGTTTTTGCTTGGGCCGTGAAATGGGTTTCTCACTCTTACTTTCAGTGCTGCAACAATCTAGTAATTTAGATCCAAAAAACGAACAGCCAAAAACAGCCTTTGTCAGTTTTTGATAAAGAAACTGATTTTTCTTGAACGATTCAGAAGACAAGTTTTCAATTTCGAGTAAACTTTGAGCCTTAAATTTCATAAGTTCTCATGTATTTCATATTTTAGTGTTTGACAAGCTGCAATCAAGGGTTTCTGTTTTTCCCTGATTCTTTAGTGTTTTTCAAAGTGTTGTTTTTTGCCGAATTGCATGGAAACCAATGTTGGAACAAAATGTGTTCATCCTTTCCAAAACACATCTATGTGTCCAAATTTTGCATGCACATTCATGAGCCTAAATGGTAAATATCCACCAAATTTCAGGAAGAAATAAATAGGTTTACCAGTGTTTCAAGCTGTTTGAAAGTTGCATGTGGTCAAACTGTCCCAAACACATTTACATTAATTCATTTGCCAGATGCTTTTATCCAAAGCAACTTTCATTGCATTCAAAGTGCACTTAAATTTTTTTTAATCAGTTCTTGCTTTCACTGGGAATTAAACCCATGACTTTGGTGTTGCAAGCGCCAAGCTGTAATGTTTGAGCTACAGGGGGAAAAAAACAACTATATTATAAATGAATCATGGGTAACAAATATACCTGTGGATAGAGTTCAATAATAAGTGTCAGTATTGCATTATTTGAATTAGAAATATTGGTGCGATTGTGCTGCACGTCTCTGATGCCTCTGAATGCTGCATCACGAGCTCTCCTGAGTTTTCCTCGTTGCTGTTGTTGTGTTTAATGTGGCTGATGTTGGTCTCAGGACGGCAGTCTGCAGTGTCCCACCTGTAAGGCCATCTACGGGGAGAAAACCGGCACGCAGCCTCCTGGGAAGATGGAGTACCACGTGATTCCTCATTCTCTACCAGGATGCTCCGATACAAAGACTATCCGCATCGTCTATGACATTCCCGCTGGGATACAGGTATATTCAATCAAACGGATTATTCAAAATAAATATAAGTATAATAAATAAATAAATTTTTTACAAATTTTTTAGAAGTTATTAGAAATACGTTTCTGAATATATATGAAAATTACATTTTTGAAGTTTAAGATTCTTATTAGAAATATTTTTAATTCTTATATTTATACAATAGTAGCTTGTGAGATAGGTATTTTATTTTATTTTATTTACATTCTAATAAATAGTTTAACTGTACAAAGGTGTTTAGGAATGGTTTTGTTTATTTTATTTTATTTTATATATTATTTTATTTTAAAATAAAAAACAGCTTAACTCTGTACAGAAATTTATAGATTTTTTTTCATAAAATTTTTTATTTTACTGTATTTTACAGATTTTTTATTAAATAAGCTGCTTAAATCTGTTCAGAGATGTACAGAAATGGTTTAATTTTTATTGTATTTTAATATATTTTTATTAAAAATTAAAAAATAAGGGGTCATATGATGCGATTTCAAGTTTTCCTTTCTCTTTGGAGTGTTACAAGCTGATTGTGCATAGATAAGATCCCTGAAGTTGTAAAGACTAAAGTCTCAAAACCAAAGAGATATTCTTTATCAAAGTTAAGACTCTGCCACGCCCCCCTAAAACGGCTCGTTCTAACACGCCCCCACATATCTACCTCACTATGTGGCAATATTAGCATAATGCGCCCAAATGTGCACGCAAAGAAAGAAGGCGTGGTTTCAGTAACCGCAGTTAGTGTTGAAGCAGCATGTCAGGGAGACGCTGTGTGTTTCTAGGTGAAAGCAAAAGCACTTTATTTGGCCTTCCGGAAGTAGATGCATTTAGGAATCTTTAAGATTACTTACAACAGAACAGCAATGCATTTTATGGACGACCGTTTCGTGTTGTTGATGAAATGTCTTTGATCAAAATTCAGCTCTCCAACCAATTCATCAATAAACTGTTTCAGGAAACTAATAGATTTTATCCCAGTTCTCTCACCCAGAGTCTCCACACTGATGCTCAAAATATGGCCAAGTTTTACGCATCCAGCAGCTATTAGCCGTAATGACAAATTGGCAGAGCATAAATGTCTAGAAGGTAGGATTCTGGAACAATGTCTATTCTATCAGCCACAAACCTGCACGTATTCCAGCAGGTCTTGATACAACAAAAACTTTCCAAGCTTCCATCATAGATCTATAGAAGGGTGTCAAATCTGTTAAAGTTGTTTCATTCAAGCTTAGTAAAAAAAGATGTTTATCAAGTCCCATATTGCCTGCTTTCCTCAAGAGTGCAACCGCAGCGTTAATCCATGCAATATCACTGTTATACAGCAGTCTCTGAGCAGCTTGCAGACGAAAAGCCATAAGTCTAGATCTAATATCTACAAGACCTTGCCACCCTTCTTCTACAGGCAAAAAAAGGACAGCTGATAGAACCCAATGCTGCCCTGACCAAAAAAAATCCTTTGAATGTCTTGAAGTAGTCCAGCGGGAGGCTGTAATACAGTAAATTTATGCCACAGAGCAGAAGCGACCAAGTTGTTGACAACTAAAACTCTCCCCCTGTAGGATAACTGGGGTAGCAACCAGTTCCATCTAGACAATCGGGTGCACACTCTCTCCAAAATTCCCTCCCAATTTTTCTTTTGAAACTCAGCAGAACCCAAACACACACCAAGTATTTTTATCCCTGTTCTATTCCATTTTAAATTACCTGGTAGGTGTGGAAGATTTTCCAAATTCATTTGACCTGACCAGAAAGCCTCAGTCTTATCCCAATTTACTTTTGCCGACGATGCCCTTTCATACATATTAATGACTCTAGACAAAGCTTTTATATCAGTATTATCATTAACAAAAACTGTAACATCGTCGGCATAAGCAGTAATTTTAGTTCTTAAATATTGAGGCATTGTGGGTATTGATAAACCAATTAGAGTTTTCCTTATATTAAAAAGTAATGGTTCAATAGCAATACTGTACAACTGACCTGATAAAGCCCCTTGAAACCACAATGGGCCGACTTAGGCCACCCCCCACCTTAACCTTACAAGAAGCTCCAGTATATAACAATTGTATCCATTTGATAAAACCTTGACCAAACCCAAAAGCAACAAGCAGATTAAAAAGATAATTATGATCAACACGATCAAACGCCTTTTCTTGGTCTAAAGCAATCAATCCGACCTCTGCATCAAACAATTTGCAGATATCCAAAGTATCTCTCACCAAGAGATTCTTTGGAATGCAATAGGTTTGGTCTTGATGGATTATCAAATGTAAGAACTTCTTAAGTCTATTAGAGAGACATTTGGATAACATTTTATAATCTGTTGTTAATAGAGCAACAGGTCTCCAGTTCTTTAACAAAGTCAAGTCTCCCTTTTTAGGTAGTAGAGACAATACAGCACGTTGACATGTAACAGGTAGAATGCCATCTTTATAACTTTCACAGAAAACTTCATACAAGTCCATTCCAATAGATTTCCAAAAATGTTTATAAAATTCAGAAGTCAAACCATCAACACCAGGAGAGCGACCAGGCTTTAACTGTCCAACAGCAACAGTAAGTTCTTGAAAGATAATTTGCATATCCAAAGCAGTCCTAGATGTAGAGTCTATTTGAGAAAGTTCATGGAAAAGTTGTGCTTCACAACTAGAATTGCAATGATCAGCTTTATAGAGAGAAGAATAAAAGTCAACAGCATGACGACGCATTTCTGTAATGTCATTTGTAATCTTCCCATCTGGAAGACGCAAACATGTCATCTGCTTATATTGTGCCACTGAACGTTCTAAATTAAAAAAATAAGCACTTGGTGCATCCATATCAGTGACTGATGTAAAACGTGACCTCACTGCCTTCACCCTCTCATTCAGATGAAAGCTTAGCTGTTTTTTTTCTGTTGTAAGTCATTTACAAAAGCTGGATCATTCCTTCTTAGTATTTCTGTCTCTATAGACTCAATATCTCTTTCCAGGGCCTTAATAGTTTCTCTTTGAGTGGTAGTGCAATATGCAGTGTACTGTTGACAGCAAAGTTTTATTTGAGTTTTTCCAACCTCCCACCATTGTTTTACATTTTCAAAAGAATTTTTTTTCTTTCCAATAGTTCCAGAATGCCACAACATGTTCAGAAAATAAAGCATCCTGCAACAATTTAACATTAAAATGCCAATAAGATGATTTTCTTGGAAACTGTACCATGTTTACTGAAATAAAAACCAGATGGTGATCAGAAAAACCTATTGGAGAAATACAACAATCCACAACCCTGTTATTAAAATTTTTTGAAACATAGATTCTATCTAATCGAGCAGCACTTACTCTATTGTCCAAAATTTTAACCCATGTATATTGTTTGTCAAAAGGATGCTTGATTCTCCACGTATCTAAAAGTTCAGCCTCTTTCACCAATCTTGACTAATAGCTGGAGGAAAGCATATGAGGTTCTACATTGTTACGATCATCATTAAAACACTCTGTACAATTCCAATCTCCACTAATAATGACGTCTCCATCACTAAAAACTTGTCTTAAGACATTAGTTAATATACTAAAAAACTGTAGCCGCTCATGTCCCACATTTGGTGCATAAACGTTTATAAAATAAATTGTCATCCCTTCAATAATAGTTTTAACAAGGACAAGACGACCTTTTACAAATTCTTCTGTTTTTTCAATACTAACTTTTTTTTCTGGAAAAAAAGGAGAGCAATTCCCGCACTCAGATTTGCACCGTGACCAAGTATATGCTGACCTTTCCACCACATCCTGCATTACTTCAGACACTAAGGCTCTTTTATGTCTATCCCTCCCTCCATTAATATTTAATGAACCCACCCTCAAAAGATCCATATACTGTATATGTTTAGGAAGGATAGAATAAAAACACCAGCAAAAGAAAACAACAGAAAGAAAGACAAGATCACCACGTGATGCATGGTTAACAACTTATAAAAAAGCTTTTAGCCTCTTCTTCTTATCCACTCTTCTACATTTTCTAATGACTGTAACATGCTTTTTTAAAACGAAAACGTTTATTTTCACTCAACTGATCAAGATTCACATTCTTTTGCAGAGACGCCACTGACCTCTCAAATTTATCAACATCAGGAAAAAGATCCTTGATATTGACTTGTTTCCCAAACATCTCATCAAGAAACCCATTCATTTCCTCTAATGTATACATAGAGGAATCTTTAATGGTTATATCCTGAGAATCACCTTCAGGTCCACAAGCAGAAGAACCTCCTTGTGAATCACATTCATAATCGAATATAGAACCATTTTCGATACAACATCATCCATTTTACTACCATCATTGCTTAGACACAGCTCTCGCTTTCTTGAACCCAAACAAACAGGCTCCTCACATCTTGAACTGGGCCCTGCAACTACCAAAACATTATCTTGCTGCTCATCTGCATTTATATTTTGTACAGTTACAATATTTTCATTTAGCTGACGTTCATTTACATTAGTTTCTATATCATTGACAACATGCTCATTTGCTTCCATAGCGGACGGCACCGCAACAGAATCGCTTACCTCTGAAGAACCTGCTTGCTCCTCTCGAGTAATGTGCTCCACCACCACTTCTCCTGAGACAGTAGGCCTATTCCCTGGTTCACGCTCTCGATTATGCGGGCATGCGAACTTTTTATGGCCTAAATCGCCGCATTCGAAGCACCTTAAACTACCAGTTGTTGCATACACCATATAGGTTCTCCCTTCATGTCGTACTCGAAATGAAACATCTAGCGTATTTTCTGCGGATTCTAGAAACATAAACACCTGTCTTCTAAAAGACTTAACGTGCCTCAAGGACGGATGTTTACAGCCTAGCATAATTGTTTTGAAACCACTAGCAAATTTACCAAACCGAACTAATTCCCGCTCCAACGCGTCATCAGGAATGAAGGGTGGAACATTCGATACCGTAATTTTCGCTGTTGGAGCATGTAACGGGGTAACTTGAACAAAGTTGTCATTTATAACAAGACCGTTCTCAATTAGTTGGTTATTGACAACATGCTCATTTGCTTCCATAGCGGACGGCACCGCAACAGAATCGCTTACCTCTGAAGAACCTGCTTGCTCCTCTCGAGTAATGTGCTCCACCACCACTTCTCCTGAGACAGTAGGCCTATTCCCTGGTTCACGCTCTCGATTATGCGGGCATGCGAACTTTTTATGGCCTAAATCGCCGCATTCGAAGCACCTTAAACTACCAGTTGTTGCATACACCATATAGGTTCTCCCTTCATGTCGTACTCGAAATGAAACATCTAGCGTATTTTCTGCGGATTCTAGAAACATAAACACCTGTCTTCTAAAAGACTTAACGTGCCTCAAGGACGGATGTTTACAGCCTAGCATAATTGTTTTGAAACCACTAGCAAATTTACCAAACCGAACTAATTCCCGCTCCAACGCGTCATCAGGAATGAAGGGTGGAACCTTAAACCTTAAACCATGCAACAACAAAAAAAAAGAAAAGGGAAAAAAAGGAGAAAAAAAAAGTAATTAAGACTAGGTGAAATCACACACACACAGCTCAATTCTCACCCACTCTCACCCCACTTCCCAGAAGTTACGAAGCTACGAGAATACTTTTTTGTGCAAAGAAAACAAAAATAACGAAAAGAATATAATTTTCTTTGCACAAAAAAGTATTATTTTTGGTACTTTTCTGGACCTTGAACGTGGTAGTTACCTTGCTGTCTATGGGAGGGGCAGAGAGCCCTCAGATTTCATCAAAAATATCTTAAATTGTGTTCAGAAGATGAACGAAGGTCTTACGGGTTTGGAACAACACGAGGGTGAGCAATTAATGACTGAATTTTCATTTTTGGGTGAACTAACCCTTTAACTCTATACAGAGATGTATAGAAGTGGTTTTATTTTATTTTAACATGAAAGTAAATAGCTTAACGCTGTACAAAGGTGTATAAGGGCTGAAGTATTTGTATGTTTTAACTAAAATCATAAAAGATATATAGAGAAAATAAAAAATAGCATTTATTTGAGTGTATTTTGTTATTATCAAATTGTGCATGTTTGCAAAGATGTTTGCACATGACAGGCTAAAAAAGACGCTGTCATAAAGTAAAAAACAATACAATATTTACTGGATTTTTGTGGATTAAAATGTGCCCATACTAAAAGAGGTGCTGGATATCACAGTCATTGTTTACACACATCAATGAGGGACACAGAGGAGCGTCTGTAGGATGAGGCGTGTGAACTGAAGCGTTTGTTCTTCACTTCAGGCGGCCCAGTTTTCATAGAGAAACGCTCTGCACCCATATTTAATATGTTAGCCGTTTCTGCAGAATGACTGTGGGCTTGTGGCTTCTGGTCACTGTGTTTTCACCATGTTTCACCATACGTGAAACAGAAAGTGGCTGCGTGGCGCAGCTCATTCTGGGTCATTTTCTCTCTTGTGCTTGCACACTAGTTTTGCACAATCGGCCACCCACTCACTTTCTGGGCTCCGACGTCATAAGATTAGCTTGATAAAAATATATCCCATCACTAACATCCTCAACATGGCAAGAAATGTATTTCTATGCCAGTGTTATTTTAGTATCATTGAGATACTATTTATTTTTGCATTTTCTGTTTTAAGAAATTGTAATTTAGTAGTAGTTAATATTTATTTATATTAAAATCGAAATATTATTATGTACATTATATAAATATAAATATTTTATATATATTAATTTATATTTACAATGATTATATGCATGTTTATTTTTGTGAGATTAGAATATTAATTTTAGTCAATTTTAGAGATACCTTTCAGTATTTAATATACAAGTATAGTTCAGTGTTATTTTAGTATCACTGAGATACTATTAAAGTTTAAAAAAATTATTAGTTTTTATTTTTGTTTTGTCTGTGTTAAGAAATGTATTTTATGTTATGTAATTGTAATTTAGTAGTAGTTAATATTTATTTATTATGATAATATTAAAATCTCAATATTATTATATGCATTATATAAATATTGATATTTTATCTATATTAATATATCTTTACAATACATTTTTATTGGTATATTAATTGTTTTTATGAGATTAGAATATTCAATTTAGTCAATTTTAGACATGCCTTTCAGTATTTAATATAAAAGTATAGTTCAGTGTTATTTTAGTATCATTGAGGTACTATTGTTATTATTATTATTGTTGTATTTTCTGTTTTAAGAAATTTAGTTTTAGTTATGTAATTGTAATTTAGTAGTAGTTAATATTTATTTATATTGATGATATTAAAATATAAATGTTATTATACACATTATATAAGCATTAATATTTTAATAATATTTTTAATTTTATATACATTTTAGTAATTTTATTGTGTTTTTCTCATTTATTTTTATTTATTCATTTAAATTTGTATTAATTAATATTTCAGTTTTAGTTTGTTATTTCAAGTACATCAAGGTCAACGAAATGAAAATGTGACGTTTCTTTTTTAATATGTTATTTTATTTCAGTTAATGTTTATTTTATTTAAAATACCAAAAAAGCTTGCACCCAAACTGTTACAATTTAGCTTTACATGATGGCCTACTGATAGCAATAATGATGGTAATAAACACTGCTAATAAATAATGTGAGGTTGTGAATGTTCAAACATGTAAGAGTCTATGTAACTAATTCAAAAGAGCAAGAAAATCCTTTTTTTTCCATGATATCTGCTCCTTAATATTCCCAGCGCAGGCTGAATGTGTGTGTGTTCTATGAGATGAGAGGGATTGAGTCTAACGCTGTGGTGTGATCAGAGCGAGTCCTGGCATAACACTCTGAATAACAGCACGTCTCAGGCCCTCATTAGCGTTTTCTCTCTGCTGTGTGCTAATTGAGCGAGCGGCGTGTGAAGTGTGTGACCGCGTGTGTTTTGTGTGTGTTTCGTCCAGACCACAGAGCATCCCAATCCCGGGAAAAAGTACAGCGCGCGGGGATTTCCTCGACACTGCTACTTACCGGACAACGAGAAAAGCCGGAAGGTGAGAATCAAGATCTGACGTGAATCACTATATCATGTATTTTTTTTTATTTAAAATGTATTTTTATAAAAAATAAAATTAAATAATTATTTATTATTTTTATATTATATTATTCATTATTTTTCCATGTTAAGGTGTCCATCCAGTGTTCTTTAAAGAGTACATGAAAATATAAAACTTAAATTAATTAATGAATTAATTATTTTAATTCCAACATCATAGTGAGCTGCTAATCTTAAAGGGATAGTTCACCCAAAAATGTGATGTTTATCTGCTCACCCCCTGCAGGGCATCCAAGATGTAGGTGACTTTGTTTCTTCAGTAGAACACAAATTATGATTTTTAACTCCGTATACATCACTCATTGTTTACACAGTGCACAGTCATTGTAGGTACGACGGCTAATCAAAATGGTACTTACATGCACTTATCCGGATTGTTCAAACCGACTTAAAACTAAAAGATTACGTTCTCTCGCGCGAACTCATTCGAGAGTGGTGACTTTCCACGTATTCCCAACTTCTGAACCCGCTCACCTGAAGTTATGGTTGATCGCTCTTCAGCTGGATATCAACACACCCGTTAACGTAAACTATGCCAGAGCGCGTACACACCTCACGCACCGGATGCCGTGCGCGCGCTCAAAGACAGCTGGACATAGTGCTGTATTAGAGGTAAAAAATTATATAAATACTGTTTGGTTTCTCGCACAAACCGATCGTTTCGTGTCTTAGGACATCAATGTGTCGTCACGAGCCGCAGGGTTTAATTTGGATTTGTCTGTGCATGTTTTTTTTACTCTCATAGATTTTGTTACCATTGCCATGCATTATACGACTGATAGACTGCAACGGCTGGACTTAAAAATCATAATTTGTGTTCTACTGAAGAAACAAAGCCACCTACATCTCGGATGCCCTGCAGGGGGTGAGCAGATAAACATCACATTTTCATTCTTGGGTGAACTATCCCTTTAACAGCATCGTATGTGTACTTTCAACACAAAAATGTAAATGTTGGATGGGTTAAGTTAAATATAGCCTATACCAGTGTTATTATAGTAAACTAAAACTATATACAAAAAGTTTTTGTTATTCAAAATAAAATAAAAAAATCTGAAAAAATTATTTTATTTCAGTTATTATGTCACCATTTCTAATTTTCATTCAGTTTAACGTGATGCCCTAAAATAACTAAAACTAAAACATATAGACTTTGAATATAAAACTAAATAATATAGACTTTTATAAAAAAACAATAACTTACAAAAATGACAAAACACAAAAAATTACTAAAACTTTAACAAAAAAATCCGAATAGGAAATATAATATAAAAATATAAAATAAAATAAAAATTTAAATAGTATATAATACAATATAAAATATAACAAAACATATAAAAAATAAAAATACTATAACAGTATGATACTAAAATTACACTATATTTAGATTTCATTCAATACTGAAATTGCTAAAAAATTGGCTCAAATTTCTAATTACTAATCTTGTATGCAAATAAAATATATATAAATAAACATTTATATAATTGTGTATGCATATGTATAAATGAAAAATGTAGAAATAAATAAAAAATATATATAGAATTTATAATTAAATGTATATATTAATATTATCTATTTATCGCTCTCTCTTAAAATTAATCATACTGTATATTATATAATATATGATTATTCATCACAATCATAATCATGTATTATATCATATTAATCAATATTTGTGTGTGCTGTGAATGCAGGTTCACATTGTTTTTATTGCTCGTTTCAGGTGTTGAAGTTGCTAATCATGGCGTGGGATCGTCGTTTGATCTTCACCATCGGGACGTCCAGCACCACGGGAGAGACGGACACAGTGGTGTGGAACGAGATTCACCACAAGACCGAGTTCGGCTCCAACCTCACGGGCCACGGCTACCCCGACCCCAACTATCTGGACAACGTGATGAGAGAACTGGCCGCCCAGGGCATCGGAGAGGACAACCTGAAGGACTGAGGCTCGGTCCGCTGCCAGACACACAAACACACACACACACCTCATTCAGAGGAGTTCCCGGAGAGACCTTTGACCTCTCTGGGAACGACGGTCCTCGCTGACCCCGAGTCAGTGCGGGACTGTGTGAGAGACGAGTAGATGTGGATAATGGAGTGATGAAATCAGTCGAAATTACTCTAATATATTCCTCATTCACTGACACAGCTTGCTTTCTCTCTCTCTATCTCTCGCGTGCTCTTTTTGAAGGCTACCCAGAATGCATCTGGGCTCCGACCAGTGCATGTGGTAGTTGTATATACACACACATTAGTGGTTGACCGATATGGGGTTTTCAATGGCGATGCCTCTTACAGATGGCAGATATAATATGGTATATCTAGGGCTGTCAAGTGATTCAAATTTTTGTGCAGATTAATCATCAGTTTTGGCTGAGAAATGTACCCCCTAAAGATCATTTAAAGCCCTTATTGTGTTAAATGAGAAAAAGCATTGCATAAACATTACAAAAAAAGTAGCTTTAGGAAGAAATATTTTGATTCAGCATTGCATAAATATTGATTTTTTTTTATTTAAATTGAATATTGAAATATTAAATGGTTTTTACAAAATGAAATGATACACTAAATTTGAGACTAAAACCTCTAGTAGGTGGTGTCTTAATGTGTGAGTCGTTGAATTATTCATCCAACCGATTTATTCAAACGGCAGATTCATTCAGCGACTCGTCTTAATGAATGAGTCACTGAATCATTGACTCACTTGATTCGTTCAAACGGCTGATTAATTCAGTTACAAAGCTAGTGACGGTCTTAATGAATGAGTCACTGAATCACTGACTCACTTGATTCGTTCAAATGGCTGATTCATTCAGTTACAAAGCAAGTGACTGTCTTTATGAATGAGTCACTGAATCATTGACTCACTTGATTCGTTCAAATGGCTGATTCATTCAGTAACAAACAAGTGACTGTCTTTATGAACGAGTTAATGAATCATTGACTAACTTTATTCGTTCAAAAACGTGGATTCATTCAGTAACAAAACACCGCTATGTTGCTCGCCGTGCTTAATGCAGAAGAGTCTTTATAAATTTAAATAAACCTATTTTACACAATATTGTAAACTTTGTTAATCTGCCAATTAGTAGCTGATGCTGATAACCTCAAAATCACCAAATATCAGATGATTCATCCCATTTCTTGATATATATATCGGTCTACCACTGCGCCCAATACAACTTGGAGAAGTTTTCAAATCTGCTTCATTTTCAGACAGTTTTCCTGATGTTTTCTGCCTTGTTTTTCTGGCCTCTGTATGTATAACCGATTAAAAGAGGAAGCCTGTAGTTGTTGGCGTTTGTAGGGAAATCAGTGTAGATGGGTCCGTAAGCAGATTTTCAGGGCTGTTTTTGATGTTTGTGCAACCGCTGCATAAAATATCTGCACTTCAAAACGTTCAGCTCTCCGGCTCGTGTGCTACTTTTGAACTTCAGAGCAATTAGCGGAGCTCAGAGCAAACGCTGAGATTTGAGGATCCTTCTGTGTGCGTTTTAACTTTTAGAACGAATAAGATGAATAGGGTGTCTTCTTGAAATATGCAATGATTCATATCCTGTCTTGCTTTGTTTCTCTTGAATGTCATTAATCTGAGAGAGTGGCTTTCTGGCTGCAGACGGGTTTATCGGTGTTGTGTTTGGAATGGAATACTAACATATTACTTTTCTAGAATACTGCACAGTATACAGTGTGTACTGTTTTTAAAATGCAGGCGTTATTCCATGATAAATGTTTTAAATAGTTGTCCTTTTGAATTGCATGCAAGCGGCGTCCAGTTATGATGTTGAATAAATACGAGGGTTGCCGATTTTTAATTACATGTTATGCACTAATGTGTGAAATTATCAAATAATGAGTCAAAATAGTACAAATTGTGGCTGATATTCATTTGTCACACTGGAAATAAAGTTGAGGATATGGCAGTGATTCTCAACCAGAGCCTCAAAATTACTATAAAAAAGATTTAATATATAATAAAAAAAATAAGACAAAACAAGCATTTAAATGAGCTAAAGCAAATTAAAAAAATAAAGATATATCTCATTTTGACTAACTAAAGCTAAAACCATATTTTTTTTTTTACTTGGAATAAAATAAACATTTTATTTCAGCTAGTTCCCAAAGCGTAATTTCTCATTTTCATTTAGCTTAATTTGAAGTACTAAAATAACTAAAACGACAACTGAAATAAAAATTAATAAAGCTATACAGACTATCGGTCAAAAAACACAAAACTCACAAACTTTAAAACTAAAATGAAAAATACAAAAATATTTTTTTTTGATTAACATTTTTTTTTTGATAATAAAATTTTTGATATAACATAAAAAAAACAAAACAAGCATTATATCAGTTAAACTAAATTAACAGTGAGTGTTTCCACAGTCTTTGAAAAGCTGGACGTCTTAAACCTGTTTATGCACTTTTATAATGAATATACATTTTACTAGCAATGCCAAGCTCTAGAATATTTTATCGGGTAGAAATTGTGAGTAAAAATTATTTAAAAAACAAACAAACAAATCTTATCCTTAATTCTAAGTCAGTAAATCGGGAAAGACTGGAAAATTAATTGGTTAAATTGGCTGGAAGCTTGAAGATCATTCAGCTCCTAAAACTTTAATTATTTAAAATTTTAATTATGATCCTTTAGTTTTTGTTTTTTTTTACTTACAGAAATGAGGAGTTTAAATCAGATTAAAATGCATCTTGAAAATCAAAACTAGGGCATTACGGTCTTTAAATATTGTTGTGGTCAATGAGGGGCCTTAAGAGTCAAAAAGGTTGAGAAACACTGGCATATTGCATATACAGTATTTCATACAGTGTGCTCCAGTTGCACATTTAGGCAAATGCAGAAGGCAATACACAGAAAATTCACATAATGTGCATGTAAACATACTAGATACTGTAGAAATATTAGTATGTTAAGATTCTATTCTGAACACAGTGTTTGATGAGGGAGAGTTTCTGAGGCCGTAGCAGATAAATCACGACTCAAACTCCCCTCAAGGTTAAAAGAAACACACACTCATGCTTTCTTTGCTGATCTCGTTCAGAGTCAGAGACGTTTCCCAGAGGCGAGTGATTCCGCCTCGCGTCCCTCGGGGTCTGTGGACTGTGATTTATTTCTCATACATGTTCGCATGTCATTTGGATGCCAAAGATCGTGACGTCATCGTACAGTCTCTGAAGGGCCGTTCACACTGACAGCGTTTTACTGCAACAAACCAAGCTTTTCGTTTTCATAGCCATTGTTTTTCTCCGTTTATGAATCATTCTGAATCATTTTCTGCATGTAGGATATAAATCACAAATGTTTTTGAAATAAGTCTCTTCTGCTCACCAAGGCTGCAATTATTTGCTCAAAAATTTCAATAAAAACAGTAAAATTGTGAAATATTATAATTAAATTAAAGAACAGTTTTTTATGTGAATATATACTAAAATGTAATTTATTCCTTTGTTCAAAGCTGTATTTTCAGCATCATTACTCCAATCTTCAGTGTCACATGATCTTCAGAATTCAAGATTTTAATTGATTAAAAATACAGTAAAAACTGCAATATTGTGAAAAATTATTACAATTTAAAATAGCTGTTTCTTTGTGAATATATTGTAAAATGTAATTTATTTCTGTGATCAAAGCATGAAGAAATCATTCTAATATACTGATTTGCTGCTCAAGAAACATTTCTGGTTATTATCAATGTTGAAAACAGTTATATTTTTGCAGAGGCCATCATTTTTCAGGCTTCACTGATGAATAGAATTTATACATTTATTTGAAACGGAAATCTTTTGTAACATTATAAATGTCTATACTGTCACTTTTGATCAATTTTGTGTGTACCTACTGAATAAAAATATTAATTTCTTCCAAAAAACAAAAAAACACTTGAACAGTTTCATAACATTTTTCCGGTGTCAGTGTGAACGGCTCTTTCAAGTCTCACAGATGATGCTTTTTAACGCTGTGGATGATTGAACAGCCCACAGATCTGCAGTCTTCCTCATCCAGAAACACAGAAACTCTCTGATTGTGTCTTGAAATGTCTGTAAGCATCTTTAGTTATCCTCGTGTCTTGTAATGCTTTGAAGAACTGTATCGAGTACAGTATATAGAAGTCAGCATATATATATATATATATATATACACACATACATTTAAGAGTGTGATATATCTTTGAAGTGTTTAAATAATTTTTATACTTACACATGACGTACATACAGACACACACACATACACGTGCATATATTTGATACATGCTTTTCTTGTCAAATCTGACAGTTTGTCAGTATAACGTCAGGGACTGTTACCGTGTTCTGAGCGTCTTATATTAGTCGTGCCGTTCAAGCAATGATCGCCGTTGCTGTCGATGATGTCGGTGGGAAGGCTTAACTTGCCCACCCAAATGGGTTGTGCACCTTTATATATCTGCAGGGAATATTTCAATCATCATTCATATAAGCACTGCTCCATATGCACGGTCTGATATCACTGAAGATCACATCTCGTCTCATTTCAGACGCAGAGTTGCTTACAAATGCTTCTGCGTTGTTTGAGCCAGTACAAACCTACATTTTGTGTTCAGTTTTAGTGTAACTTTGAGATTGAAATAATTTTTTTATTTTTTTTTTTATCTTTTCGGTTTTCTTTAAAAGTTCAATTAAAGTTTTAGTCATTTTGTGATTGCCATTTTTGTGTGTTTTTATCATTATTTAAAGTTTTAATTAATTGGACAAATTAATTTTTTTTAACCATTTTTATCAAATTTAACACCGCCATTTAAAGCTTTTAGCAGTTTACTTCAATCATTTTTTAGTTTTATTAGATTTTTTTTTTTTATAGAAAATATTTTTAATAGTTTTAGTTAAAGAAAATAACCCTAAAAATGTGTTTGGTTTATAAACCATCAATGCAGTTCTGAAGCAATTTGTATTAAAAATCTTGACCATAATTGGCCAACAACCCATTTATTATGGTCAGGATTGATTTTTGATACAAATAGCTTCAGAACTGCATTGATGGTTTATAAACCAAACACATTTTTTATATAACATTTATATTATATACATTTTATACATGAATACATTTGTAACCATTTTGACCAAATTTAACAGCATTTATAATCACATCTGAGCTTTTTTACAGTTCACTTCAGTCATTTTGTAGCGTGAGAAATGAGTGATCCATGCAGTCTCTCAGTTATAAAGCTCAAAAGAATGACATGCATAGTACAGTAATTATACAAGAATTATACAAGAACTTGTGTTGTTTAAAATAGTTTTGAAGTGTTTTACACTGGTGTCACAATTTGACGTGTCAACAACCCAAATACTACCAGACTAAAGAAACTTGTGTGAAGGTAAATTGAATGTCATGTTTGAGATGTGACTTTGAACTGG